ACCTGAAGATCAAATTGTTATTAAGCCATTGTCCTTTGCGGCTTCTGTAGGGAGGATCTGAAAATATACCTGAGAAATTTGTCGGGAAAATGGAAACAGCTGTGGAGAGTATATTTAATCAGCACTTATTTTAATCACCTTTTGCATTATACACTTCATTATACTCCTCCCCATTACCTTAATAATACACTGTCGTCATGCCACCACTAGCTATGCAATTTTTATAGTCTAAGTTTCAGTGTAGACATCCTTACTTTAATTGGTTTTTCTGTTACGGATTCAAAATTTTAAAAACAAACACGAAAGCTTAGTTTAGGGCTTTTTTTAAGTCAACTACGGGTCAGGAGGAATTAGAGAGAGGCTTTTGATTGAACAGTTCTTCTGCTTAAAGATGAAATCGATGAGTTTCATATGTTTAATACAGTCCATGAAGACATTACTAGAAAAGTTGGGTTTAACACAGTATTTTTCTTTATTCTGAGAATTATTATATTACCCGCAACCTTGAATAGTGCATTCAGAACTTCAGTTTGCCTTTTATTTGCTCCGAAATGTGTGTCAAATTTGACAAACTTTTTTCTACAAATCCGAATTAAGAGGCATTAGCTGTATGTCTTTCGAGAAAAATGAGACTCTTAATTTGGTTTTCTGTAAGAAGTTTGTTTTATGGGTATAATTTAGGCTAACAGTTTAAGTCATTACTACAAGCCAATCTCATATGTGCTGTGAATGACGTAACTTTTTTTTTTGTAGTTGAGTGATACTTATTCTCCAAGTATAGCTTTCAAAGAGAACGAGTTTCATGAATTTACATATCGTCTGTTCTTTATATCCATCATAGCATTTGAAATCAGACTGCAAATCACTCGCTTATAAAAGGATTAATGTGCGTTACAGGTCAACGTTGTTCATCTTTGAGCACGCTTTTGTCACGAACTGCTAGGTTTTTCTATTAATGTTTAATAGAAAGGTGGCTGAAATTTCAACAGAAGAGATGGGTAAGACCAAAATGTGTGTAGTAACTGTAATAACTCTAAACAAGTCCATGGAAGTAAATATTTCCAAATCCAGTGCTGACAAATTTCATAACCAATGTTTGAAACCCCGTTAACATTATGTCCATCAAACTAAATAACACAATTATTGTCAGGGCTGAAATAAAATCGTTGAAGTTGGTCCTTTAAAAGAGATGGATAAGACTAAAATTAGTGAGAATCTAGCTAACTAGGAGTGCATGAAGCTAAGATGGTCCAAGCAGACCAATTAGAAATTCAGTAATATTGAACCAATTTTATTTATAAGTGAATGATTGAAAGAGAAGCTTTGAGTTATCTCTGTGTGCTGTTTTGATGTTTATAACATTGTTATGAATCATGATAAATTTTCTGTTGAGCTAGGAAAGCAATTGTATGATGCCAGCAATGCCATCCACACTATCTACAAGTCATTTGAATGCGATGAGTTTATGGAAAACCTGTAACTTAACATACATGATTCTCTGTGTTAGCACTTAATGCGACGGTTATATCATAAATTTTAGATACTGCTGAGTGGATCAGGTACATTTGAAATGGGACATTTATATACACACGATCCGGTTTATGTAATCGGGAAGTTGAACTTCGAACTCAGATTTGAAGTAGCTTGCACCATCAAAAACTTCCAATGTTAAAGTCTTGCGTAGTTTAATATCAACCAGAATATCACTCTTGCATCGAGATATAGATAGAAATTTCCTCGAATTACGAGCAAGCGTGAGCAGAATTGTTTCAGTGCGGTATGCATCTTTTCTTCACACTTTTATTTATCTTCGTTTATTGTGTTGTCATTTTGCAGGAAGAAAGAGGTCGTTTCAGCAACAATGATTATTTAAATAAATAAAATGGAACAAGGGGAAGTGTTTGTTGTGGATGAACAGGTTCCTTAAACATTTTATAGTCTTTCAGATTGTTTAAAGGCTGCGTGGGAGGCGAGGGTCGCGTAAGGGGACGAGAAGTAATCTGGCATGTTTTCCATCTTGGAAATTGTTCCCGTAGTAGTACGATGACTTACTTCCACTACAGACCTAGGACTTTTATAGTCTTCAACTTTTCCGAGGACAGCAGCACGTTTCTAATGATTTCAGGAAGGAGAACTAGATCCGAATGACGCCTGGTTGATGCGAGCTGCAGGTGGCGAGGAGGAAGTTGATGCAAATGAGCTTCCGATGGGGGTGGTAGCTGCTGCCCAGGATGATGACCAGTTATCCTTTGAGGTCGTATATTATATTTGTAGCAATGTTTTTCGAAGTGCGGCCAAAACTTCCTCTCGTCCATTGGGTTGTGTTCACCGGTGGCAATCTATATTAGTGCAATTCCCACTGTACTGATATCAGAAATACCTTGCATTGGTCTCTTCGATAAGACTTATGACACCAACTATCAAACACCTTTTGTGATGCACTTGCTGGTTAGGCTACTTAATGCATCTCTGCCAGGTTCGGATAGAATTTATGAGAGTACCTGGGATGTTCGTAATAAAGATGTGAAGTTTGAAATAGATTATCTATCGCCCACTTTTTTTTAAAACACTTATTGCTGTACAAAAGTTTAGAATTATTTAGTGCATTTTTATAGTGTTGAGAAGTTGAGGTATCTAGCTTACGATATTGTTCAGGATTCGGAACGCTTTGAAGAAGATTCCCTTTGTTCGTGGATGTCAGATGCTGAATCGTTAAATCAGAATTGGCGTGGATGGAGTACAACGAGGAATCCAACAGCACAGACTGGAATGGGTGAGGTTTCATAGTAAGTTCTATCTTCAGTGCATAAAGACTTCACAGAGATCCAGAAAATCTTACTTTTAGAACATACATTTGGCGACGGATCAGGCCCACTGTTACCAAGTTCCTTATTACGCTTTACTGGAGGTATCACATCGCCTTCACAATCTCGTCGACATCCTATATCCAGTTCAGCAGCTACAACGAACCTCGGCTCCCCTGTTTCAGCAGCTAGTATTTGTGCGAATGCAACAAGTTAGCACTATTGAAATGACATCAGTTTCTAAAACAAAAAAAAAAAACGAACAGTACGGCTGTTTTTTCGTTTTGTTGCTACAGCTGCCATCTCTAGACAAATGTAAAGCTTAGTCTTTTGCAGCATATAATGTGCGTAGTCTCGCCGAAATGGCTGCTCGCGTTGCTGCACGATGTTTTTCATTCATAATGTTAGAGGCGTGCTATCACGCGATCTCAGTTGAAAAGAGGCGGGTAAACCTCAAAAGTGGTTTAAATGATCGTTCCGTCATGTTTGAAAATGCTTTTGCGGAGCATGCTGCAATTCCTGACAAATTTTTCTTGAGCATAGTGCGCTGGTGCTTTCCTGAAAGCGAGGAAGATGTTCGTTTATACAGGTTAAGATTTCGATTTCGAAAATTACATTTTCTTGGCAGATTGCAGAAAATGTTACATTATTTTTTCCACAGAGTTGTGAAGGAATCATTAAAATATGGGTTTCGAGCAGTATATTTCCTTCTTTGGTTTGTTCATTAGCATTTCCTTGTCTCAGTTTATCTTTAATCCTTTATTTCAGCTGTTTGGCAAATGGTAATGCTGATGAGTTTGATAGAGGAGAGTACTTATATCAAGTAAATGCGGTACATGACGTTTTCCAAATAGGTCTGTTAAAAAGTTTCTTACATCTCCTGTAAAAAAAACAAATAGACCTGTTTCAGTTGCTTATGAAGTGTCAAAAATTTTAATATTTTTTGATACGTTAGGATTTTTGCTTGATTGTTAATATGCTCTTTACATCCAAATTCCATAAATTAGAGAGCAATCAAACTGTGCAACAATTTCGGTTGAAATGATCTCAGTTATCTGTATTGATCGTGTCAGTGGCAGTCACCGATAACGATATGGGGCTACTCCACTGGAATGTTTATTGTTCGTCAGTTTTTAGAAACAGTCGGCTTTCCAGTTGTTCATGACTTCTGTTGACATGGTTTTGAGGTTTATGGGGATTGCACAACTTGTTGCTTTAGATACACTACCGGTTGCTTGTAGGTTATCATATTTCCGCCGTAGTGAATGCAACAGGCGCCTCTTCTATAATTTCTCCAACAAATTCATCAGCTCCACCTTGTCGTTCAAAGATGTCGTACAATGTATCAGTTCGGGTTGACAGGTCTGTTTTTAAATTCTTTTCAAGTTTGGGTTAGGTACGTTTGTGTTCAAATGAAAATTGATATTCATTTTATGAATCATGTTGCCAATCATTTCACTTAATGAAATTGTAAATAGCTCTGCAGAGTATCTATTTTGTACAATGTTGATCTTGTTCATAGGATTATACGTAATGTTTTCTTTTTCAGGTGCCGGATAGTATCATGTAGCTGTTCATGCGCTTTCAAGGCATCATGGTGTCAGCACGTTGTCGCTGTTTGTTTGTATAGAATAAATAGAGTCAATGAAGTCGAATATCGTGTTACCATTTGGGACTCAATCAATGAACTTACAAATGAAGAATTAAAAAATTGGCGCAGTTTCTTATAAACGATCTTCCTCGACAGGTTTGTTTACTTCGAGAAATGTTCATAAAGATTGTTTCAATAACACTCTGTAGATTTGTAAAATTTAAGTATTTGCCTGTGGCACAGCGTTTGATCGACCAGTTGCGGAATCCAAATTCTGAAATAAACGCAGCAGTTGGAGCACCAGATCCAACAGATGGAGGTCATGATAATGTCGCTATTTGGTGTTTGGATCAACGCACACTGCACGAAAATATCCGACGCATATTGATCAAATTCTGTCTTCCCTCACCGACTGTGCATTGGTATATTCTTCCAGGATATAGTTACAGCTGCATCAAAAATCAAGTGTATGAATGAGGAAGTTGAAGTTTCCACTTCCAACGTTTAATTCACTAGTAGTATTTTTACAGTGATGTGCAATATTTATCATCCAATCAGCCACCGGCAGCTAGTGAGTGGTTGTCTCTTTTTCGGCCCCACAGAGCAAAAGAACCTGAAGGTATGCTACTGATAATTACTTGTAGTTGGGAAATGTTCAGATGTGCTTATAATACTATTAGTTTTACTTTGAAGGTTTATGGAATCTTTTGTCAATTGTACGCGAGATGTTCAGACGTCGTGATGAAAATGCAACCAGTCTTTTACATATTATTACCGAAGAATGCTTAGCTTGTTCACAAGTTTGTGTTTTTCTTGAATTTATTCAATATCACTTTACTGTATTTTTATAACTGTTTGTCCAGATTCTGTGTTTAGTCTTGAAACCAAATATCTGTAGCTCTTACATTTCTTCAATTTTTTACAACATGAAATCTATAACAGTCCGAATTTCTGTAAATCGCTGTGGATATTGTTGAGGTGTTGTTCAAAGGCCGGATAATAAGAGATTTATTTAGTGTTATCTTACAGTGACAAAACTTTGAAAAAATATTATGATGTGTTAAACAATGATTTGGCTTCAACATTTTTTAAAATATTGAGGTTTTCCGGTATTCAGGTCTTGATTTGGTGGTATCAAACCGCTTTATCTCAATCCGGACAATGGACACTTTGCCCGCCTTCTACCAACAAATCAAGTTCATTAATGTCAAATCAGAAAACACCTCAGCTGAACTGTGCATCACTCTGTGATGAAATAGTACAGCTATGGAGGCTTGCTGCTCTGAATCCACGTTTATCGTCTTTTGAAAGGGAACAAGTACGTAGTGAATTCACACACATTTTTCTAGCAACATATGCATGTGCACGCATATATATATATATATATATATATATATATATATTCTAGTTGTACTTAGTTT